TAATATGAGTGTAGAACACCCCACAGTTACAGTGTACTAGTTGTGAGTTAGTTAATATCAGGGTCATAACACCCCACAGTACAGTGTTTTAGTTAGTTAGTTAATACTTAGTTTCATAAACCACCCAACAGTACAGCTTTGTACTAGTTAGTAGTTATATCAGGGTCAAACACCCCACAGTACCGTGTTTAGTTAGTTAGTTAATATCAGTGTAATTACACCCCAGTACAGGGTACTAGTAGTTAGTTAATATTAGTGTCATAACAACCCCACAGTACGTGTACTAGTTAGTTAGTTTTAATATTAGTGTCATAACACCCACAGTACCGGGTACTAGTTGTTATTAATATGTGTCAAACACCCCACCAAGTAAGTGTTTTATTATTAGTTAATATCAGTGTCATAACACCCCACAGAAAGTGTATAGTTAGTTAGTTAAATTAGTGTCATAACACCCCACAGTACAGTGTACTAGTTAGTTAGTTAATATTAGTGTCATAACACCCCCACAGAAATACAGTGTTACTAGTTAGTAGTTAATAGTAGTGTTCATAAACACCCACAGTACAGTTGTACTAGTTGTTAGTTATATAGGGTAATAACACACCACAGTACAGGTACTAGTTAGTTAGTTAGTTAATATTATGTTCATACACCCCAAACAGTACAGTTGTACTAGTAGTTGTTAGTTAATATTAGTGCTAACACCCACAGTACAGTGTACGAGTTAGTTAGTTAAAGCAGTGTCCCATAACACCACACAGTACAGGGTACTAGTTAAAGTAGTTAATATTAGTTGTCATAACACCCACAGTACAGTTGTACTAGTTGTTAGTTTAGTTAATATCAGTGTCTAATAACACCCCACAGTACAGTTACTAGTTAGTTGTTAGTTGTAATAGTAGTGTCATAACACCCCACAGTACAGCTGTACTAGTAGTTAATTATTAGTGCATAAAACACCCAACAGTACAGTGTACTAGTTAGGTTAGTTAATATTAGTGTTCATAACCACCCCACATACAGTGTATTAGTTCGTTAGTTAATAAAGGGTCAGAACACCCCACAGTACAGTGCTAACTAGTAGTTAGTTTAATATTAGTGTTCATAACACCCCACGTACAGTGTACAGTTAGTTAGTAATAGTGTATAACACCCCACAGTACAGTGTACTAGTGAGTTATTATATTAGTGTCATAACCCACCAACCCCACAGTACAGTGTACTAGTTAGTTAGTAATATTTAGGTCATTAACAACCCCCATACAGTGTTACTAGTTAGTTAGTTAATATTAGATGTCATTAAACACCCCCACGTTACAGTGTAATAGTTAGGTAGTTAATTTGGGTATACACCCAACGGACAGTGGACTAGTTAGTTAGTTAGTTAGTTTAACTATTGAGTGTCATAACACCCCACAGTACAGTGTACTAGTAGGGTAGTTAATATCAGTGTCATTAACACCCCACAGTACAGTGTACTAGGTAGTTAGTTAATATTAGTGTCATAACAACCCCACAGTACAGTGTGTACAGTTAGTTAGTTAATATTAGGGTCATAACACACACAGTACAGTTTACTAGTTAGTTAGTTAATATCAGTGGTCAATAAACACCCACAGTACAGTGTTTTAGTTAGTTAGTTAATAGTAGGTTCAATAAACACCCCACAGTACAGTGTACTAGGTAGTTAGTAATCTTAGTGTCATAACACCCCCACAGCAGTGTACTAGTTTAGTTAGTTAGTTAATATTAGTGTCATAACACCCCACAGTACAGTTGTACTAGTTAGTTCAGTTAATTTAGGTCATAACACCCCACAGTACAGTGTACTAGTTGTTAATATTAGTGTCATAAAACACCCCACAGTACAGATGTGTTAAACTTTTTTTTTTTTTTTTAGTTAGTTAGTTAATAAAATTAGTGTCATAACACCACAGTACAGTGTACTAGTTAGTTAGTTAATATTAGGGTCATAACACCCCACAGTACAGTGTGTACTAGTTAGTTCGTAATCTTAGTGTCAAACACCCCACAGTACAGTGTAAATTAGTTCAGTAATTTAGTGTCATAAACACCCCACAGTACAGTGTACTAGTTAGTTAGTTAAGATTAGTGTCATAACCCCCCACAGATACAGTTACTAGTTAGTTAGTTAATATTAGTGTCATAACACCCACAGTACAGTTTGTTGTTACTAGTTAGTTAGTTAATATTAGTGTCATAAACACCCACAGTACAGTGTCTAGTTAGCTTAGTGATATTAGTGTTCATAACAACACACAGGACAGGTAATAGTAGTACGTTAATATTAGTGTCATCATAACACCCCACAGTACATGTACTTAGTTAGTAGTTAATATTAGTGTCAAAACACCCACAGTACAGTGTAATAGTTAGGAGTTAAGATTAGTGTTCATAACACCCCACAGTACAGTGTACTAGTTAGTTAGTTATATTAGTGTCATAACACCCCACAGTACAGTGTACTAGTTAGTTAGTTAGATTAGGTTATCCACCACCCCAACCAGTACAGTGTATAGTAGTTAGTAAATTAGGTCATAACACCCCACAGTACAGTGTTGTACTAGTTAGCTAGTTAATATAGTGTCAATAACACCCCACAGTACAGTGTACTAGGTAGTTAGTTAATATTAGTGTCAAAACCACCCACAGTACGTTGTACTAGTTAGTAGTTCATATCAGTGGTATAACACCGGTAGGGTGTTGTTAGTTCATATCAGGTTATAACTTGTAGGTGTGTAGTTCATATCAGTGTTTATAACATCTGTAGGGTGGTTAGTTAATATCAGTGTGTTATAAATCTGTCGGGTGCGTTAGTTAATATCCAGTGTTATAACACCTGTAGGGGTGTTAGTTAATATCAGTGTTCTAAATCTGTAGGGTGTGTTAGTTAAGATCAGTGTTATAGACATCTGTAGGGTGTGTAGTTCATACAGTGTTAAACATCTGTAGGGTGCGTTAGTTAATATCAGTGTTATAACACCTGTAGGGTGTGTTAGTTCATATCAGTGTTATAACACCTGTAGGGGTGTTAGTTAAATCAGTGTTATAACATCTGTAGGTGTGTTAGTTCATATCAGGGTTAACATCTGTAGGGGTGTGTAGTCTCATATTCAGTGTTATAACATCTTAGGGTGTGTTAGTTAATATCAGTGTTATAACAGCTGTAGGGTGTGTTTGTGAGTTCATATCAGTGTTTTATAACATCTGTAGGGTGCGTAGTTAATAATAGTGTTATAAACACCTGTAGGTGTGTTAGTTATTATCAGGTTATAACATCTGTAGGTGTGTTAGTTTAATATCAGTGTTTATAAAATCTGTTAGGGTGTGTTAGTTTCATTCAGTGTTATAACATCTGTAGGGTGTGTTAGTTCATATCAGTGTTATAACATCTGTAGGGTGTGTTAGTTCATATCAGTGTTATAACATCTGTAGGGTGCGTTAGTTAATATCAGTGTTATGAACACCTGTGGGTTGTGGTAGATTCATATCGTGTGATAACATCTGTAGGGCAGGTGTTTAGTTAATATCAGTTGTTTTTAACATCTGTAGGGTGTGTTAGTTCATATCATTTGTTATAAACATTTTTGTAGGGTGCGTTAGTTAAATCAGGTTATAACATCTGTAGGGTGCGTTGTTCATATCAGTGTTATAACATCTGTAGGGTGCGTTAGTTTAATATCGTGTTATAAACTTTTAGGGTTTGTGTTAGTTAATATCAGTTTATAAAATCTGTAGGGTGTTGTTTTTTCATATCAGTGTTTAACATCTGTGGGGGTGTGTGTTAGTTAATATCGTGTTATAACATCTGTAGGGGTGTGTAGTTAATATCAGTGTTATTGAATCGTGGGGTGTGGTAGAAATATCGGGTTATAACATTGTAGGGTGTGTTAGTTTATTCGTGTTATAACAATTTGTGGGGTTTGTGTTATTTCATATCAGGGTTATAACATCTGTGGGGTTTGTGTTAGTTAATATCAGGGTTTATAACATCTGTAGGGTGTTTAGTTCATATCAGGTTATAACATCTGTAGGGTTGTGTTATTTTCAATCAGGGTTATAAAATCTGTAGGGTGTGTTAGTTTAATATCAGGGTTATAACATCTGTAGGGTTTTTTGTCCCCTACCTTAAAACAGGTAATAACCAAATTTGCCAGGTCTCTCCTGGAGTTCCTCTATCTGGACTGGAGGGTTTGTGAAGAGACGATCGTGGCGTGACCCTCTCTCTCACCGCGCCCAGCAGAGGGGCATCCAGGGGGCGACCCACACGGCACGTCTACCAACCTGGAACCTCCGGGAGGCTGGGAACCACACACCACACACACACAACAAAACACCACACCACGCCGAGTTAACCTTTACATTGTATACTTAAAATTTTACAACATACACAAAGAGAGTATGATAATTCGCTCCCTCCCCCCTCTCTCTCTCTCTCTCCTCTCTCTCCTCTCTATCCCCCTGTCCAGCTGGTTGAAGGGCCTTTTTGGGTGAAAACTCCCAGCTTGTCCTCCTTCTCCCCCACACCACAAGGATAGCTACCTCACCTGAAGAGAGGAGAGGGGGAGAGGGAGAGAGAAAGAGGGGAGATTTAAAACCTTTAAATCAGTTGAATTACTGTAGATGAATCATGAAATAGGAGGCCCCTGAGGTTTCTTGGTACTGAGGAGGAGGACCGGAGCAATAGGGGAAACAGGATTCTGATGGTGTGTAATAAAAAGAGTCCGAATAATTTGGGGGGTTATTACGGTAATGTGTTTTTGCATATCCCCAACTCCCCCTGAGACACTCTCAGGGAGGGGGATCACGGCCAAGTTTGCCATTGTACAGCGCCCCCTGGAGCAGTCAGGGTTAAGTGCCTTGCTCAAGGGCACAGCATTTTAGTGGTATTCGAACCAGCAACCTTTCGGTCCATGCGTCCCTCCGTCTGCCTATACCTTACCCTCACGGAGAAGCTCGTCGGCAGTGCTGACTCCATGTTCTATGAGTTTCTGGCAGTCGTCCAGCGGTCGTACGCTGTCCTGCTCGATGACATCCACCTCGCTAAGGAGCACGCTCAGGCGCTCCACCAGGAGGCGGGTCACAGCGGCCTGGAGCTCAGAGAAATGACGCTTCAGCGCCTCCCTGGCCTGAGACGAGCTGCCTCGCACCTGGAGGAGGGGGAGGAGAGAGGAAGGAGGGAGAGGAGAGAGGAAGGAGGGAGAGAGAGGAGAATGGACCAGTTAAATTGTTTTAATCTCTAGTTTATAGAAATGACGCTTCAACGCTTCCCTGGCCTGAGACGAGCTGCCTCGCGCCTGGAGGGACAGGGTGGGGATTGATTGATTGGTTACATTTATATGCTAACTTTGTGCATTTGGAAACAGTGCCAGTCCCCCAACGGAACAGGAAGCTGGTGGTTAGTCGTTTGCAGTGAAACTCAGTCTCCGTTTCAGTTCCTCTTAACAGACAAGCATGCTGAGCTGAACTCCTGTCAGTCTGGTAGTTTCATACTATTTCTGTCCCAAATGGCTAGTAGCTTTATAGTGCACTACTTTTGACCAGGGCCCATAGAGCTCTGGTCAAAAGTAGTGCACTATATAGGGAGCTTTTTGGGACACACTCACTGACTGACAGTCCTCCTCTCACTCTCACTTAGACTATGAGAGCGAGAGAGCGAGACAGAGAGAAGGAAACCGAAGAGAGCAGAGGCGCTGCACTGATAAAACAGGAAATGCCTCACTGGAGCCATTGCATCACTTCCTGGTGTCTATCAGTTTTGTGGAGATAAGGACAGTGTCCTAAATGACACCCTATTCTCTATATAGTGAACTCCTTTTGACCAGGACCCAATGGTAGTGCACTATGGAGGGAATAGGGTACCATTTGGGACGGAGGAGGATGGGAAAGCTAATATTGTCATCTGGAATACAATGACATGTCCACTGGGAGTGGAGGACATACAGCCTGGGGAGAGAGAGATAAGAGGTGTGACAGAGAGAGTAAGAAAGAGAGCGAGAGACCAGAGAGAGAGAGACCAGAGAGAGAGAGAGAGAGAGCAGAGAGAGAAGGCAAGAAGGGCCTTTATGCCATCAAAAGGAAGATAAAATTCAACATACCAATTAGGATCTGGCTAAAAATACTTGAATCAGTTATAGAACCCATTGCCCTTTATGGTTGTGAGGTCTGGGGTCCGCTCACCAACCAAGAATTCACAAAATGGGACAAACACCAAATCGGGACTCTGCATGCAGAATTCTGCCAAAAATATCCTCGGTGTACATCGTAAAAACACAAAATAATGCATGCAGAGGAGAATTAGGCCGATACCAGCTAATTATCAAAATCCAGAAAAGAGACCACCTAAAAGGAAGCGATTCCCAAACCTTCCATAACAAAGCCATCACATACAGAGAGATGAACTTGGAGAAGAGTCCCCTAAGCAAGCTGGTCCTGGGACTCTGTTCACAAACACAAACAGACCCCCAGGACAGCAACACAATTAGACCCAACCAAATCATGAGAAAACAAAAAGATAATTACTTGACACATTGGAAAGAATTTACAAAAAAAACGGAGCAAACTAGAATGCTATTTGGCCCTAAACAGAGAGTTCACAGTGGCAGAATACCTGACCACTGTGACTGACCCAAAATTAAGGAAAGCTTTGACTATGTACAGACTCAGTGAGCATAGCCTTGCTATTGAGAAAGGCCGCCGTAGGCAGACCTGGCTCTCAAGAGAAGACAGGCTATGTGCACACTGCCCACAAAATGAGGTGGAAACTGAGCTGCACATCCTAACCTCCTGCCAAATGTATGACCATATTAGGGACACATATTTCCCTCAGATTACACAGACCAACAAAGAACTCAAAAACAAATGTATTTTGATAAACTCCCTTATCTACTGGGTGAAATACCACAGTGTGCCATCACAGCTGCAAGATGTGTGACCTGTTGCCACAAGAAAAGGGCAACCAGTGAAGAACAAACACCATTGTAAATACAACCCATATTTATGTTTATTTATTTATTTTTGTACTTTAACTATTTGCACATTGTTACAACACTGTATATAGACATAATGACATTTGAAATGTCTTTATTCTTTTGGAACTTTTGTGAGTGTAATGTTTACTGTTAATATTTATTGTTTATTTCACTTTTGTTTACTATCTACTTCCCTTGCTTTGGCAATGTTAACACACGTTTCCCATGCCAATAAAGCCCCTTGAAGAGGAAGAGAGAGACAGAGACAGAGACAGAGACAGAGACAGAGACAGAGACAGAGACAGAGACAGAGACAGAGACAGAGACAGAGAGAGAGACAGAGAGAGAGAGAGAGAGAGAGAGAGAGAGAGAGAGAGAGAGACAGAGACAGAGACAGAGACAGAGACAGAGACAGAGAGACGGCAACCTTGGGAAAATCCTCTGCATTATCATTAACAGCAGACTAGTTCATTTCCTCAGTGAAAACAATGTACTGAGCAAATGTCAAATTGGCTTTTTACCAAATTACCGTACGACTGACCACGTATTCACCCTGCACGCCCTAATTGACAAACAAACAAACCAAAACAAAGGCAAAGTCTTCTCATGCTTTGTTGATTTCAAAAAAGCGTTTGACTCAATTTGGCATGAGGGTCTGCTATACAAATTGATGGAAAGTGGGGTTGGGGGAAAAACATACGACATTATAAAATCCATGTACACAAACAACAAGTGTGCGGTTAAAATTGGCAAAAAACACACACATTTCTTCCACATGGCCGTGGGGTGAGACAGGGATGCAGTTTAAGCCCCACCCTCTTCAACATATATATCAACGAATTGGCGAGGGCACTAGAACAGTCTGCAGCACCCGGCCTCACCCTACTAGAATCTGAAGTCAAATGTCTTCTGTTTGCTGATGATCTGGTGCTTCTGTCACCAACCAAGGAGGGCCTACAGCAGCACCTAGATCTTCTGCAGAGATTCTGTCAGACCTGGGCCCTGACAGTAAATCTCAGTAAGACAAAAATAATGGTGTTCCAAAAAAGGTCCAGTTGCCAGGACCACAAATACAAATTCCATCTAGACACCGTTGCCCTAGAGCACACGAAAAACGATACATACCTCGGCCTAAACATCAGCGCCACAGGTAACTTCCACAAAGCTGTGAACGATCTGAGAGACAAGGCAAGAAGGGCCTTCTATGCCATCAAAAGGAACATAAAATTTGACATACCAATTAGGATCTGGCTAAAAATACTTGAATCAGTTATAGAACCCATTGCCCTTTATGGTTCTGAGGTCTGGGGTCTGCTCACCAACCAATAATTCACAAAATGGGACAAACACCAAATTGAGACTCTGCATGCAGAATTCTGCAAAAACATCCTCCGTGTACAACGTAAAACACCAAATAATGCATGCAGAGCAGAATTAGGCCAATACCCGCTAATTATCAAAATCCAGAAAAGAGCCGTTAAATTCTACAACCACCTAAAAGGAAGCGATTCCCAAACCTTCCATAACAAAGCCATCACCTACAGAGAGATGAACTTGGAGAAGAGTCCCCTAAGTAAGCTTGTCCTGGGGCTCTGTTCACAAACACAAACAGACCCCACACAGCCCCAGGACAACAACAACAACAACAACACAACTAGACCCAACCAAATCATGAGAAAACAAAAAGATAATTACTTGACACATTGGAAAGAACAAACAAAAAAACAGAGCAAACTAGAATGCTATTTGGCCCTAAACAGAGAGTACACAGTGGCAGAATACCTGACCACTGTGACTGACCCAAACTTAAGGAAAGCTTTGACTATGTACAGACTCAGTGAGCATAGCCTTGCTATTGAGAAAGGCCGCCGTAGGCAGACCTGGCTCTCAAGAGAAGACAGGCTATGTGCACACTGCCCACAAAATGAGGTGGAAACTGAGCTGCACTTCCTAACCTCCTGCCAAATGTATGACCATATTAGAGACACATATTTCCCTCAGATTACAGCGATCCACAAAGAATTCGAAAACAAACCCGATTTTGATAAACTCCCTTACAGTGGGGAAAGAAAGTATTTAGTCAGCCACCAATTGTGCAAGTTCTCCCACTTAAAAAGATGAGAGAGGCCTGTAATTTTCATCATAGGTACACGTCAACTATGACAGACAAATTGAGGGAAAAAATTCCAGAAAATCACGTTGTAGGATTTTTAATGAATTTATTTGCAATTTATGGTGGAAATAAGTATTTGGTCACCTACAAACAAGCAAGATTTTTGGCTCTCACAGACCTGTAACTTCTTCTTTAAGAGGCTCCTCTGTCCTCCACTCGTTACCTGTATTAATGGCACCTGTTTGAACTTGTTATCAGTATAAAAGACACCTGTCCACAACCTCAAACAGTCACACTCCAAACTCCACTATGGCCAAGACCAAAGAGCTGTCAAAGGACACCAGAAACAAAATTGTAGACCTGCACCAGGCTGGGAAGACTGAATCTGCAATAGGTAAGCAGCTTGGTTTGAAGAAATCAACTGTGGGAGCAATTATTAGGAAATGGAAAACATACAAGACCACTGATCATCTCCCTCGATCTGGGGCTCCACGCAAGATCTCACCCCGTGGGGTCAAAATGATCACAAGAACGGTGAGCAAAAATCCCAGAACCACACGGGGGGACCTAGTGAATGACCTGCAGAGAGCTGGGACCAAAGTAACAAAGCCTACCATCAGTAACACACTACGCCGCCAGGGACTCAAATCCTGCAGTGCCAGACGTGTCCCCCTGCTTAAGCCAGTACATGTCCAGGCCCGTCTGAAGTTTGCTAGAGTGCATTTGGATGATCCAGAAGAGGATTGGGAGAATGTCATATGGTCAGATGAAACCAAAATATAACTTTTTGGTAAAAACTAAACTTGTCGTGTTTGGAGGACAAAGAATGCTGAGTTGCATCCAAAGAACACCATACCTACTGTGAAGCATGGGGGTGGAAACATCATGCTTTGGGGCTGTTTTTCTGCAAAGGGACCAGGACGACTGATCCGTGTAAAGGAAAGAATGAATGGGGCCATGTATCGTGAGATTTTGAGTGAAAACCTCCTTCCATCAGCAAGGGCATTGAAGATGAAACGTGGCTGGGTCTTTCAGCATGACAATGATCCCAAACACGCCGCCCGGGGAATGAAGGAGTGGCTTCGTAAGAAGCATTTCAAGGTCCTGTGGCCTAGCCAGTCTCCAGATCTCAACACCATAGAAAATCTTTGGAGGGAGTTGAAAGTCCGTGTTGCCCAGCGACAGCCCCAAAACATCACTGCTCTAGAGGAGATCTGCATGGAGGAATGGGCCAAAATACCAGCAACAGTGTGTGAAAACCTTGTGAAGACTTACAGAAAACGTTTGACCTGTGTCATTGCCAACAAAGGGTATATAACAAAGTATTGAGAAACTTTTGTTATTGACCAAATACTTATTTTCCACCATAATTTGCAAATAAATTCATTAAAAATCCTACAATGTGATTTTCTGGAGAAAAAAAAAAAGTCTCATTTTGTCTGTCATAGTTGACGTGTACCTATGATGAAAATTACAGGCCTCTCTCATCTTTTTAAGTGGGAGAACTTGCACAATTGGTGGCTGACTAAATACTTTTTTTCCCCCACTGTATCTACTGGGTGAAAAACCACAGTGTGCCATCACAGCTGCAAGATTTGTGACCTGTTGCCACAAGAAAAGGGCAACCAGTGAAGAACAAACACCATTGTAAATACAACCCATATTTATGTTTATTTATTTTCCCATTTGTACTTTAACTATTTGCACATTGTTACAACACTGTATATATAAATAATATGACATTTGAAATGTCTTTATTCTTTTGAAACTTCTGAGTGGAATGTTTACTGTTAATATTTATTTCACGTTTGTTTACTATCTACTTCTCTTGCTTTGGCAATGTTAACACACGTTTCCCATGCCAATAAAGCCCTTAAAGAGAGAGAGAGAGACAGAGAGAAGAGAGAGAAGAGACAGAGAGAGAGGGGGAGAGAGAGAGAGAGACAGAGAGAGAGACAGAGAGAAGAGAAGAGAGACAGAGACAGAGACAGAGAGACAGAGAGACACGAGAGACAGAGAGACAGAGAGACAGAGAGACCAGAGACAGAGACCAGAGAGAGAGGTAGAGAGGAGGTAGAGAGAGAGAGAAGAGAGGTAGAGAGAGAGAGAGGAGAGAGAGAGGTAGAGAAGAGAGAAGAAGAGAGAGAGAGAGAGAGAGAGAGAAGGAAGAGAGAGACAGAGAGACAGAGAGACAGAGAGACAGAGAGACAGAGAGAGAGACTACAGGATGTTTTGTTCTTCTCTTCCAGAAGCGTCTAAGGCACACACACAGCTCACGGACGTCACACCATCCTAGTAATGTGTGTGACAGAGCAGCTTTTCCTGCCTGCCTCGTCTCATATTACAGTAATGATGACTCATCCCTGGGGAAGAAGGGGGTTATGGGAAAAATGGCCCAAAACTGGACTCTACAGCTGGGAGAGGAAAGGAGAGCAAGGTGATAGAGGTGTGCCAGATAATGGATGGGAACAGTGGGCGCCAGAGAGCAGAACAGAACCATACTGTAGATAAAGTGTCCGTTTCAATTCATTAGAGCGGGTACTACCCATTTTACTGAAATGGGTGCGAGAGGGTGAAGTTAATCTTTGGCCCAGTCAGAATCAGCTGCGAAGGGCTGCTTGAATGCAGAGGGGAGACAAAGCTGTGTTGTTTTTTTGCGTTTCCATCTTGTTCCTGCGGTAGGAATATTGGGGTGACGTCGGCATAAAAGCGTCAACATGTTTGAGGTGTTGGCAGCTGCATGGGCTATTCTCGTTGTGCAGTGGTGACATACGGTTAAGGTTTCAATCCACAACTCTCTGTTCCTCGCCATTGTGATCTACTGGGAAGCCAAAATTGATATTTAAACGACGGAGAATCCTCCTGGTTTATCCACCCCACCACTCGCCATCGTACAGAACTAGTTCCCGGCGGCGCCTCACAAAAGGACAGTTTGAAATGCACCAATTAAGATTTACATTTAATTTTTAATTTAATTTTTTAACTAGAGCATAGGCTCTAGTTGTTTTAACGGAATAGCATGAAATGTTTTTCAGCTCAGATTTCCTCAAGAGGCAGAGGCCTACAACCCAGCGTAGGCCTAGTCTATGGGCCTAGTGCTTTTTGTCTATTTTTTGTTGTTGTATGTATTCGGGTTCACGGTGCAGATCCAACCGAGGTCCTGTACTGACCGGTTCGGCACCAATACGTGTACCGCTACACCCCTATTCATTACATGGGAATTTAACCTTGTGGTTTTTTATGTGCACTACGTCACCACACAGCCTTTTAACTGCAACACGTCAGTTTGATGGAAACATCTCTGGTGGGAAAATCTGCATATTGTTTTTATGCGGATTTTAGAACATTCGCATTAAAATCTGTTGCCAATTGGATGGAAACCTAGTTACAGACACAGATGAAGTCCTCTCCTGAACTACATAGCATGTTTTCAATAGAATGTGCTTTTTAGTTCAGGAGTTGGACTACATTGACATTCACGCCACCTCCGGTTTGGCCAATGAGTTGTGTTTCTCTCTTCACCTCCCTCTCTTTCTCTGCTTTGCTTTTAGAGGAGCAGGAAATAACAGCATTGTTTACAATTAGCCTGAGAGAGAGGGAGGAGGGGGGAGGGGGAGCGAGGGAGGGAGGAGCGGGAGGGAGGGGGGAGAGAGAGAGGGAGGAGGGGGAGAGAGAGAGAGGGGGAGAGAGAGAATGAGGAGGGGGAGAGAGAGAGAGGAGAGGGGTGTGTGTGTGAGTTGGACCGCTGTTGTAGGTGTGTATTATTACCTGTTTGCGTGCCTGGCTGAGTCCATGTAGGCGTTGTTGTAGTTCGCTCCTGTAATTCTGAGCTGCTTCTATACTCTCCTTAGCCTCCTGCAGCAATGCCTCAGCCTCTATAGACATCCTGCTGTACCGCCTTGCTCCTACACACACACACACACACACACACACACACACACACACACACACGTTATCAGCAGAGGTTTGTAACTTCATGTCCCTGTGGCCTGATATGCTTTCACTCTGAAAGTGTTCAGACTGGAATGTGTGTGTATTCCCCTGAAGTCATTATGATGCTGTACAGCTCCACTACCACAGTAGAACAAGGAGGGGCAGACAGACAGACACTAAGACAGTACCTCGTACACCAGGCAGACAGACAGACACTAAGACAGTACCTCGTACACCAGGCAGACAGACAGACACTAAGACAGTACTGTCACGAGAATTTCTATCTCTAATTCAACCTAAGCTTGAATCATTACCAGAGGTTGTAAGGCTCTGGTTTTAATCCTAAATGATTCAAGGTCCACAACCAGCAAGAATGATCTGTATTTTTATTCATGGAGAGCTCTGGCGCCAAAACCCATACACTCCTGTTTTATACCTCTTGACACACAAAGGCACTTTGCTCTGCCCACCTTTAGGAGGCTTTTTTTTTAACCCGTTTTCTCAGTCCCCTTCACCCTGGAATGTTTAGTCCCGCCCCCCTCTGTTAGTGGGTTGCCACTACATTATAACTCTTAACACCGTTCACACATTTAAACTGTATTTGGGGTGAAATCCTTTAGTCAATATTCTTAAAATACAAATTAATCTAACAAGTACCTTGTACACCAGGCAGACAGACAGACACTAAGACAGTACCTTGTACACCAGGCAGACAGACAGACACTAAGACAGTACCTTGTACACCAGGCAGACACTAAGACAGTACCTTGTACAGCAGCAACCAGCCAACCAGAGACCAGACACTAGCAGCAACCAGCCAACCAGAGACCAGACACTAGCAGCACCACCACCAGAGACCAGACACTACAGCAACCAGCCAACCAGAACCAACACTAGGCACAACCAAGCCAACCTAGAGCCGGACACCTACAGCAACCAGCCAACCAGAGACCAGACCTACAGCAACCAGCCAACCAAGACCAGACACTAGCAGCAACCAGAGACCAGACACTAGCAGCAACCAGCCAACCAGAGACCAGACACTAGCAGCAACCAGCCAACCAGAGACCAGACACTATCAGCAACCAGCCAACCAGAGACCAGACACTATCAGCAACCAGCCAACCAGAGACCAGACACTATCAGCAACCAGCCAACCAGAGACCAGACACTAGCAGCAACCAGCCAACCAAGACCGTACACTAGCAGCAACCACCACCAGAGACCAGACACATAGCAGCAACCAGCCCACACATAACAGAGACCAGACACTACAGCAACCAGCCAACCAGAGACCAGACCACTAGCAGCAACCAGCCACCAAGACTGACACTAGCAGCAACCAGCCAACCAGAGACCAGACACAGCAGTAACCAGCTACAAGCAGACAGTCCCTATTCACGTTGAAGATGACTGTTGCCCACATAGCAGATACAAACAGAAATCCATGGGTATGACACAAATACTGCTGCTGATGCTGTGGGTTATGGTTACAGTACAGCCTGTTCTAGACCAGAACATGCTAAGGTACAGGATAGAGTAAGCTTACTTCAGTCTTCACTAAAGCCACCATCTCAAGTCAGGTGTTTTCACCCATAGACTCATATAAAGAACATTTCACCAGAGGCATAAAGAGGAGATGGACAGGTTTTCACAAGTGTACACGATGTATCCTGTCCTGCCCCCAAACACACACCTTAGTAAGGTCATCTGGGAGGATCATTGATTGTGTGATCTATCAATAATGTTCAAAGGTTCACGGTACTGCTGTCAAACACACACACACACACACACACACACACACACACACACACACACACACACACACACACACACACACACACACACACACACACACTAGGAGGGTCAGAGTTAGTGTTGCAGGACAACAGCAGTGGAACCAGATGACCCACTGGGCTGAACCCTCCCGGTTCCCTCCAGGCGGATAAAACAAAACAACACATGGTCCGTCCCTTAAAGAACTCCCCCTCGTAAAACGCGGTGCACTATTTAGGGAACAGGGTGCCATTTAGGATGCACACAGTGGTTCCATCTCGCCCCTCTTTGGTTCAATATAGAGATCTAACAGATCGGCCCACAGACACAGTCAATCTAACAGATCGGCCCACAGACACAGTCAATCTAACAGATCGGCCCACAGACACAGTCAATCTAACAGATCGGCCCACAGACACAGTCAATCTAACAGATCGGCCTACAGACACAGACAATCTAACAGAACCACACAGACAATCTAAAAGAACCACACAGACATAGTCAATCTAACAGAACATCTAACAGAACGACACAGACAATCTAACAGAACCACACAGACACAGTCAATCTAACAGAACCACACAGACACAGTTACACTAGAACATATTCAGATGTGCTTCTTTGACTATAAATAGTCACTGATCTGTTAGAAAAGAACTAGTGTATGTTTCTCAGAAAGCCTATGAAAAGGGTGTGGTTTGAAGTTGGTAGCTGTTCTCTCAGTCTCTATAATCCTAAAAATAATCCAAAGAAAAGTCCTCATTTGTGTGACCACATTTGTATTTATTTTGTCCTTTTTTAGTTGGGGGTTACAGATACAATATTCAGATTCATATCAATTCATATCATATTTTCCTTATCAAGTCCTGTTGTACCTGTGTGCTGCCAACATGAAAACATCCTCATTGTGTAAAATCCAAACAGGAAGGTGTTAGCAGTATCACAGTGATCCCGAAGAGTCAATATAACTATGGTGGTCTGGCTAATGGCTGCTCCAGCACCTTCCTACCCTGTCTGTCCTATGACCAAGCTAGCACCGAGTTAGCACCAATGTTCCCTCAATTGTTTTTGGCACTGAGCTAATTTCTGGTCTGCTGAGCACAAACTTGAACGTTGTGAAAATGATGTTCAACTTCCAGCGCGCATTTACTGTGAACACTGAGTCTGTACCCGCTTTAAGTTAGTTAGGGGATCCTGAGCGGCGCGGCGGTCTAAGACCCGGGTTCGATCCCGGGCTGTATCACAACCGGCCGTGATCGGGAGTCCCATGGGGCGGCGCACAATTGGCCCAGCGTCGTCCGGGTTAGGGGAGGGTTTGGCCGAGGTAGGCCATCATTGTAAATAAGAATTTGTTCTTAACTGACTTGCCTAGTAAATAAAGGTTGAATAAAAAATAAATAAAAAGTTAACAGTGGCCAAGTAGGCTACTGTGGCTATATGATCATAATGTAGGCCTACCAGAGTGGCCTACCATCAAAAACTATGGAGAAAATGCATCCCATAACATTTTAACATGGAAATAGCTGTTCTACATTCAGCCTACAGTAGCAGCCAATGTGTGGTGTTCAATGTAGGCCTACATTCCATGAGACTTTTGAAAAAAAAACATGCAGGGCTTGGCATTAACCTGTTTATCCACTTGTCCTTCAGACAAGGAGGTGACTGAAAATGCATTATTGTTCCCATACCATTATTACATCAGACAAATTATGCTACCCTCTGCCTATTGGCTACTTAGCTTATTCAAGCCCGTCTCAAAATACAACACTGCCCCTTTAAGACAAAAGAAAAGCTATTTACCTGACTGGCTTTTCAAAGTTGTCTAGAAATGTACACGTTTTGTGCTGTTGTAGGAAGCAATCACTCCCCTATTGCTGACTACAAATTATCTATAACTGGGCAAATAACTCACTAACTAGCAAAGGATATAAACAAAACGTGCACACGTGGCTACATGCAGCTCTTGCTCCGATCTCAAAAAAAGAGCATCTCCTCACGACCGCTCATGCTGTAAACACATTCCAGTTCAAAGTAAATGGTACAGATCCATACATGGCAATGATCTATTTGCATATAGGCCTACTACAGCTCTGATTGGTTAGGCAGCACCGGAGACCGGTCTGTGTAGAGCAGGGCTGCCCCACCGCTTCCTGAGATCTACCGTCCTGTGGGTTTTCAGTCCAACCACTTCTGGAGATCTTGTTCCTGTAGTTTCAGTCCAACCCTACTTCGATCCTTTAGGTTATGACCTCGACTACTGTGGGCACCTGATTTAC